CCCACTACTTTCTCTTCAGTTTGAGAATAAGAACAAAGATGTTATGATTGTCATCACAATATATCATTATATTATATGATTAATTTTTTTATTTAAACAATGTAAAACTTTTTTTGAAAAAGAGAGAAGGAGAACTAGTATTTAATCTCAAGTTTCACTAACTCTACGTACCTTCCGCAAGAGTGATCAATAAACTATCAAATGCGGGACTATATATATTTTAATATTATATGATTATCATAAATTTATAATAGTACCTAATATTATAACTATATTATATGATATTATATGAGAGATGGACATTTAGCATCCCTCATTTCTGCTTCGCTTCGGTCGGCGGATACAAATTCTATAAAGAGAAGAGATAACTGAGAGCAGAGAGGCATGGAGACGTTCGGAGGAGAGAAAAGAGGCGAAGGGAAACAAAAAGGACGGGAAACCAAAGGAGGTCCGAAGGGAAGATCATGTAAAGGATATCTTTACTACTACTCCTCCACCCTCAAATCCAACAATCGCAAACCTCGTTGCATCGGCATTCCTCGTTCTCTCCCTCATGGTATTTACTATTCAACACATCTCTGTCCTTTTTTTTATTTTTATTTTTTGCATATGGTATTTAAGTCTGCAAATTCTAAGTCCAAAGTTCATCGATAGCGAATAATTATTTAATGTAGAAAGGGTTTTGTTTTGATTTCGGAATTATAATACACAGAGAGAAGATTCTAGATGTCTTCTGTATTTTTTCATGATATTCTTCATTTCATATGATCTTTTTGCTATTCATTTACTGGGAAAGAAAAGAAAAGCAATTCAAGTAACCATGGATTATTTTTCTAGAAAATAGGAGGGAGGAATGGAATTTGCATCTTTTTATATCCTTTGGAATTTATTCTTTCTACAAACGTGATGGAAAGTGAACCTAATCGTGAACTGCTCAATGTGTTGCTTACCTACTTGTCAGTTGCCACTATATGTTGCAGTCAGTATCAGCGTATGGGATTACAGATACCCACTTTTCCTGGCTTCCTGCTCTTTCTGTTAATAGATTGATGATGTGCAATAAATTAAGTCATCTTGTTTGTGCAGTCACATTGGTGTCTTTGAGCTGTTATTATTTTACTTGCATGGTTGTTTTGTTATGCATGCTGATTGTTGAAGTTTGATGGTCATTTTTCAGTACCTCGCTATGTTGTTGAACAATCAGAGAATGAAACTTCTAAAGAGAGGCGGGCTCTTGTAGACTTTTATTATGCTTGCGCTGGTCACTCTGTGTATGCAATCAGAACTGAAGCTTCGGATGATAAGGCAGCGACAATGACACAAATGCCTGCTTGTGTTGGCCTTGAGGTTACTCTCTTCTTCTTTCTCCTCTATATCTCAAAATTTTATGTGCACTATCTTGTTTAAACATGTGGGTTGTGGAAAATGGTCACCAATGTATGCTTATTGATGAATGTGTTGGGCATCAGAATAAATTTTGGTACTATAATTTACTGAGAAAATAACTCTGGAGGAAGTGGAGTCTTATATGGGCTGTGTTTGACTTAAAATCCACTGTCAGCACTTGTTATAAACTTCTTATTGTTTTACATTTTTTTATTACCAAACTAAAGCAATTTGATTGAAAATTGATTCTGCTTATGCAGCTTACGGTGGATAGAAGGGCATCTAGCACTGACTCTGCTTCTACTCCTGCTCCTACTCCTGCTTCTGTGCCTGCTAATGCTCATAACAGACAAGGTAAAGAAATTAGTTTGGTTTGCTTCTTGAAGACGATTTTTTATGTTAACATCTGTCTTCATTTTAATTTTCTGTAGTAAACATATGATTGATTGATTTATATGGCTTAGAGACATTTGGCATGGGCCTCAGCATTCTCAGGATTTTATGTCTTCCACTCGTTTGTGTATATGATTTATCTTTTGTAACAATTGCGAATAAGTTATACGTCACCTTTAAATTGTGAAAGCGTATGGCATGGCTCCTAGTCTGCATTCGGTTGTAGATTGGACAAAAGAAAGTGTGAAGACAAGACTAAATACATAATCAATTGCAATTCCTGTAAAATGAATTCACAATAGCTAAGAGACACATGGTTTTTGTGATCTGGCTGTGCAACTGGCCAGTGGCAGTTGACATTGGTAGCCATTTGATTCTCTTGGTGAGAAAGACAATGGCCTTTAAAATTCCTTCGAAACTTAGTCTTTGAGGGCAAATCAGGGGATGACATTTTTCTATTTTTTTCCATACTGTCAGTAGAATCTTCAATGACAAGATGATTAAATAGGAAAATGGATCGGTATCATGAAGCACCAGCAATGTAGTAGTTTCTTGTTAGTCATTTGCTTGATCAACCTACTTAATCTGTATTTTTCTTCTCTCTTTAAGATTGCAAAAATTGTCCACCACAAAGTCACAAACCGGCTCAACCTGTTGGAAGTGACTTCCTGAGCAGGCAAGCAAATATTTTAGTGTCTAAGTGAACCTTGATGTTACTTTTTAGTTGCAACAGTATGAACTGGTTGATGAACTAACACAACAACAAATTTGATTTTCCCCTACATTATTGCAGGTTTACAAGGAATGCAAACTTGGTTGCATCAGGGGTAGCAAGGAACATACGTAGGGTGGGGAATTATGTAAAAGAAAGTGTTGATGTATTTATCAAAAAAAAAAGAAAGTGTTGATGATATTCTGGACCCGTATCGAAAGCGACCCAAATAAACTATAAGTAGTTAATTCACAAATAAAGACATAAAAGTAGGCAAGAAGCAGCAGCAAGCTTTTTTTTTTTTTTTGCCAGTGCCAATTTAAGCAGTTTTGCAGTTAAGCTGTGTAGGCGTGAGAAAGAGGGAAGGGGGTTGTTTCAGTCATAGGGTTACATTCCTGGACGACAGAGCAGAGTCTGCTTTGTTTATATAGTGGACTGGTGGCTTACCTGCATATCCGGTAGGGTTTAGTGAGCTTTCTTTTGCTACCATCTGATGTCTCTTCCCCTTTCCTAAGACTAGGGATGGGAAACCGAAAAGCGAAATGCTTTTAAACACAAGATCGGTATTGAAACAAAATTGTAGAACTCAATCTGTATTTACATTGAAGTAGCAAAAACGCTCTTCAGAAAAAGACGATAAAAGTCAATTACACTTGATAGATGTAAGAGTTTTGAATTGGTGGATGAATGTAAAGAGTGTGAGCAAGAAGGGAGTGAAATTTTGGTTCCCAATCTCTATGCTGCCCATTCCCTATTCCAATCTTGAACATCAAACGTTTTACTCGTCTTCACGTGGCAACAATGGGGTGATATTATTATTATTATTATTATTATTATTATTATTATTATTATTATTATTATTATTATTATTTGACATGAGAAACATTGGTTATAAGTTAGTATATGTTCAGTTAACAGAGAGAATCAAACTTTGGGTGAACTTCACCTGCTCTTCGTGAGGAGTGTGGTCCATCCAATGAGTCACGTGGGAGAATTCGATATTATTTTGTAAGTAGTATAATTGGACAAGCATTACTTAAAGTGTTAGAATATAGGTCAAATTTTATTAAATATGGTATTGTAATTAATTTGGTATAAATTTTTATATTAAATTTAATTAAAATAAAATATCAAATGTAAAAATAAAATAAAATATAAAATATATATTTTTAAAATTTATAAAAAAAGTATGAATTTAATATAAAAACTTATATAAAATTAAATAGATATCACAATTAATAAAACTTAACTAGGGTTTGTCCTAATTTGTGTTTTTAGACAAAACCTTAATTTGCCAGTTTTGCTTGATAATGCCGAATAAAGTTGGTGTGGTTCAAATGTTCCAAGGCCGCCGTGATAAACAATCACGTTTTGCAGGTGACAGAATTTCAAGTTTTCTACTAGGAACTAGGAATATGCTT